AAATTAAAATAATTTAGGGATAATTCAAAGAGACTACATTCTCATCAAAGTCTCCTACTTAACATTATAAATAGGGGGCTCCTCTAAGCCATTTTCATTCATTCGGAAGCATTAGAAGATTGGGAGGCATTCAAAGATTGAGAGCATTTGAGAGATCAAGAGGAGTAGAAGATTTCTGAAGTGAAGATCAAGTAGCAACATAGTTCGTGATTAAGACTAAGTCCAAGTTTGTGATTAAGACTAAGTCCAAGTTTGTGACTCTTGAAGATGAATTGAAAAAAATTAATCAGAGAAATTTTTAGAGATCATCAGTCACATCATTAAATATTTGCATTTGTCACATAATTTTCAAGTCAAGATATTTCGAGGAGAAATTAATGTGTACAAATTTCTGGCACACCTAGTGGGACATTCTCTGCCTCTCATCTTATTTCTTCGAATAAATCTCCCAATATCTCTATTTTTTCAAATAAATCTCCAAATATCTCCAAGGAGAAATGGCTCCTAAGAAGAATCACGCTAATAAACCTGTTGCTATCAAGCCTGCTAGAGCGAACCCTACAGTTTTTTCAACCTTATCATCAAGCACAGATATTCCAACACATCCATATGATACTCGAAAAAAGACAAAAGCTCTTACTAAATTGTATGAGCAAACTCTCTTAGTCCTCAAGCAAAATCCTTTGTATAATGGTTCTTCCCCAAGTTCTGAAGAAGTTTCTACTATGCAACTTGCTTCCTCTGAAGGATCAAGTACCTAACAACTCAAGAAACATGGCACCTACTCAAGTAGTAGCTTTGTTTCATCATCCCCTCATCAAAATTCTTCGTCAAAAGAAGATTTTGGAATGATGGTTGTCATGATAATTGGAACAGCATCTCTAGAAGAACAAGTTGGGCTTCTTGTAAAGATTGTGGAATCTTTAACAATAAGCATCAGAGAAAAAAATGAACAAATTACCTTGATGATGGCAAAACTTAATAGCCTTACTAGAAAGGCACCAATGGAGCTTGGCCAAATCAACGCCAAGATAATGAGGAGAATTCCACTATGGAAGTGGAAATAATCTCCAACAAAAATCTAAGGAAGTGGTCACCATTAACCAGTTGAAGGAATACCTCAAGGAAGCCATCAAAGAACAGGTGGAAAATGTCTCTCAGCTTTCATACATTTATGCCAAGCCATGTTCTTAGAAGATTGATCACATGAGGATGCCACCAAATTATCAGCCACCAAAGTTCCAACAGTTTGATGGTAAAGGAAATCTTCGTTAACATGTTGCACACTTTGTTGAGACTTGTAACAACACTGGCACTTATGGTGATCTTATGGTGAAGCAATTCGCTCACTCTTTAAAGGGCAATGCCTTTGATTAGTACACGGACTTAGAGCCTAAGATGATTGATAATTGGGAGTAATTAGAAGAGTTCCTTAATTGCTTTTATAGTTATCGACGTGTGGTGAGCACAATTGAGCTCACAAGTTCACGCCAATAGAAAGATAAGCCTGTGATTGATTATATCAACAGGTGGAGAAATCTTAGTCTTTATTGCAAAGACTGACTGTCCGAGTCCTCAACTCTTGACATGTGCATCTAGGGGATAAACTAGGGATTACGCTATATTTTTCAAGGCATTAAGCCTAAGACTTTCCAAGAATTAGCTACTTGAGCTCATAACATGGAATTAAGCATGTCAACGGCTGAAATTAGGGACCTCCAATGCAAAAACCAGGAAAAGGTAAGCATGATGTTCGTAAAGGGGGCAAAGCATTGGCAGATAAGGGTGAAGGAAAATGTAACACCTCGTACCCTTATTTAGAAGTTAATAAGACTCTATTAATGAGAAGAATGGTTATTTGACATAAATCTAAGCGTTAGAGAACAGTAACAAGTAAAAAGAATATTTT